CGCTTTCGCCCACCTCGGCCGTTGCGGGCAATATCGCGCTTGCGGCGCGCGTGGGCGAGCACGTGGTGAGCGTGCTGCTCTTTGGCGATGCGCCGGGGCTGCAGGTGGCGTCTCCCGACGGGCAGACGGTCGCATACGCGCTCGAGGGTGCGGGCAACGCGCCGGTGGAGGTCGGCGGCGCGGGGTCTCTGCGGCTGCTGCGCGTGGGTGCGGCCGGGCGCAGGCGGTGGCGCGTCGAGAGCGTGTGGGGCGGCTTTACGTACCGAGTGTGGGGCGGCTACCGGCTGAGCGCATACGTGCACGCGCCCGCTGTGCTGGCGAGCTGGGCCAACGCAACGGGTCAGTGCGTGACGCGCTGCGCGGGGGCCCCGAGCTGCGAGGAGGACGGGTGCGCGGCGGTGTCGAACGCGTCGTCGCTCTTCAGTGCTGAGCAGCGCAGTGCACTGGACGCCTTCTGCCCGGGGAGCGGCGCGGCGTCGCGCTCTCCGTGCGACCCGCCGACGATCGAGGAGACGTGCAACGCGACGGGCGTGCCGCTGGATGCGGCGGAGGGCGCGTGCGCGGGTCTCGGGTGCGAGGCGTACAGCGAGTGTGTGCTCGACTGCTGCGGTGGCGGAGAGAGCAATCTTGGCACGTGCCGTGAGGCAGCCGACTCGCATACGGAGGAGGCTGCGTCGCCCACGCCGCCGCCCTTCCCGCCGGGCAAGGCCCCGACCCCGCCGCCGTCGCCGCCACCAACCCCGCCCGGCAAGGCGCCCACGCCGCCGCCGTCGCCGCCCTTCCCGCCCGGCCTCGCCCCGACCCCGCCGCCCTTCCCGCCGGGCAAGGCCCCGACCCCGCCGCCCTTCCCGCCGGGCAAGGCCCCGACCCCGCCGCCGTCGCCGCCACCCACCCCGCCCGGCAAGGCGCCCACGCCGCCGCCGTCGCCGCCCTTCCCGCCCGGCCTCGCCCCGACTCCGCCGCCCATCCCGCCCGGCAAGGCGCCCACGCCGCCGCCCTTCCCGCCGGGCAAGGCCCCGACCCCGCCGCCGCCGCCTTCGCCTCCACTTCCGTCGCCGCCGCCCTCGCCTCTGCCGCTGTCGCCACCGCCCTCTCCGCCGCCGCCCTCCCCGCCCCCGCCCTCGCCGCCGTCCTCGCCTCCCCCCTCTCCCCTCATCGATCTGGCGTCGTCGCCGCCAATCTCGCCGCCAAACGTGCTAAAAGCTCGCCCGTTGGACCCTCCTTGCGAGCCCGAGACCTACTGGCTTTCGGTGTTGCTGGCGCACGGTTTCGCGTACGCCTCGGCCTGGTTGGCGAAACAAATTCCGGCAAGAGATCTTCCCTCAAGCCCGCCTGGAGATGTCGACAACGGAGCGCCGCCTGGGTCACGCCGGCTGCGATACATCTCTCTTGCGGCCTGGTATCTCTGCCTCGGCGTCTCTCTCACACTCGTGGCGGTGAAAGTGTGGTCGCGTGCGGCACGCATCGATTGGCTCGTCATCGTCGCCCCGATCTCGCTCTTGCACGTTGGCATCGTCATAACCACCGTGAAGCAGCGAGCCTCGCCCGACGGCGTTCTCGTCGGGCCGAGGGCCTACACGAGGTTGCACCTCCGCCGCCACGTGCGTGAGTCTTTGCCGGTGTTGACACGGCTGATTCTGTACGTTGGGGCGGCCGCATGGCTCGACTATGTCGCAAACGAAGTGCCATTCGGAGCATCGCTCACGGTGTTGATCGCCGTGAGTTTGCCGTACTGGGCTTCCGTTGCACGGGACCTCTGGAGTAAGGGCGTAGACTGGAGCGTCGGAATCCGACGTCCGTCCGTCCGTCCGCCCGACCGGGGGGGGGTGGGAGGGGGGTGGCGGGCGTGGCGGGGGTGGAGCCCCTCCATGCGGCGGCGCTTCGCCCTGGGGCTGCTTGGCTTTGGCAGCTCGGCTTTTGCGGTGGCTGCTCTTGCCTGGGACCTCTTCCCTTGCCTCTCCGTCTTCGTGTCGCTTTCGCCGCTGGTGCTGCCGGTGATGATCGCGATCGCGCTGCCTCTTTGGTACTTCGCAGCCCGGGACTCCCGGAGCGAAGGCTCCGTGACGGAGAGCTCTAATAGTGACCCCGACCACGTTTCGGCGTACCAGATCGCGACAGCAATCTGAAAGAGATTGTTTCCTAGGCCGTGCACTCCCGTCACGAACACGCGTGCACGCAGAGCATCGTGGCTGTTGCACCTGCCCAGCTCGCCACTGCATTTCTGACTACAGTCCCACTTTGCAGCAGGCGAGGTGCATTGACCGAGGCTGTGCACACGGCTGCAGGTGAGGTTGCTCAGATTGTCCATGCATGCGCTCATAGTGCGCTGCGCTCGTACAACTTGAGAGAGAAAAGAGAGGAGGAATTGTGTTCTCTCCCAGTAAGCTACAACTTCTCGGCCGACATGGACTTCGCCTTCTTTCTGACCCCTTCGAACCTAGTGTGCTGTGGCGAGAGATTCGTTTTTGTTGAATTCTTAACCCTTTTGGAGAAACAAACACCTTCTCCTTCAACTTTAAGCCCTCCAAATTCGTCGGAGCGTAGCGGAGTGCGAGTAGGCCCCGACCGAGTTTGAAAAGGGCGACGGACGCTTGCGTGTTGCGTCGTTGCGTCCTAGCCTCCAACAACGCCTCCCTGGCGCAGAGGGGCCCGGAGGGATTCTCAACCGCTCCACGCCACGCCGCTTGTCCTATTCCCAGGATTCTACCGTCGGGTCTCTATTTTAAGATGAGGTAAACAGCAATAGATCCGGCCCTCAAGCGGCCTAATCGATACCCAGCCCTCACGGAATTGGTCCCTCGTTGTACAGCAATCGATCCTTCACAGTGCCCGTCCTGCCAACTTGCCGAGAATCGGTCCCCCAGGTCACCTGTGGCGCGAAGCTGATGTCTCCCGCCCTCTGCGCGCCCAACGCGCAGCGGCGGCAGACCACCCTCCGGTTCGAGGGGCGCCTGGGGCTGAGCGGGCTGCCTCCGCCAGAGTTTGGCTCGCCCACCGGCGGGCTGTCACCCTGCCACGGGTCGCAAGCCCTCTGCCGGCCGGAGCGCAGGCTGCGCGGGCTTCCAGCAATTGGTCCCTTGGCAAGCGCGAATCGGTCCCCCTGGCTCCAGGAACTGATCCGGCACTACACCCGGATCTATTGCTGTTTACCTCATCTTAAGGTTCCCCGGGCCACTTTCGGGGGGCAAACCCTGCCCGGCCCCTAGGACCCCAGGTAAGGCCCAGGTGTGGCCTAGGGCATCAGAAGGGACCAAGAGGAGTCCAGTCTGAGCCATAGAGCCAATGTCTTCGCCCTCGAGGGTCGCGTTCAAATGCCCGGAACGGACGTCACAGTGGTGTCCGGCCGGCGCGATCACCGAGCTGTGACGCTCAGGGAAGCCTGATGAGGTGCTGGTTTCTTTGCCCAGGGCTGGCCTACGGCCCGTGCTGGATCAGCTGAGCAAGGTTTGGGGAGAATCCTATAGACAGATCTTCAGATATTTTGACGGATGACCAAAATCACCCCGTTTTTGCCCATTTTCGGTCATCCGTCAAAATATCTGAAGATCTGTCTATAGGATTCTCCCCAAACCTTGCTCAGCTGATCCAGCACGGGCCGTAGGCCAGCCCTGGGCAAAGAAACCAGCACCTCATCAGGCTTCCCTGAGCGTCACAGCTCGGTGATCGCGCCGGCCGGACACCACTGTGACGTCCGTTCCGGGCATTTGAACGCGACCTTCGGGGGCAAAGACATGGGCTCTATGGCTCAGACTGGACTCCTCTTGGTCCCTTCTGATGCCCTAGGCCACACCTGGGCCTTACCTGGGGTCCTAGGGGCCGGGCAGGGTTTGCCCCCCCCAACTGGCCCGGGGAACCTTAAAGGCCCACTCCACGCCCCCTTTCGCCTTTGAGCAAGTGTGCACACTTGGCCGCCGCTGCCTCCTGAGCACCCCCACGCCGGTTGGGGCTGCTCTCCGCCCACCAGCCGGCCACAGGCCGCCACCCTGGCCGGCCGGCGTCGAGAGAACGGCCAGACTCGACCGACCGGGTGTCGCGCCGCTGCCTGCTTCTCGCGCCGCTGTAGCAGCGCCAGCGGCTCGGCCGCGCATCCTTCACACACGCCGCCACGACCAAGCTGAGCGGGCCCAGTGTCGAGGTCTGGTGCGAGCTGCATGTGAGGGGCGGCTTTGGCCACAGCAGGTCCACCAGACGGATCTCAAAGCTTGCCGTCGGCGTGCTGTCGTGGCGAGAGCCGAGACCGCTGCAGAGGAGCCGAGTGCAGTGACGATCCAGAGGCTACCAGGGCCACCAAGTGGTAGCCCTTGCCCATTCTGATCAGGGCTGTGCTTTGGTGGGGTTGTGTTTGAGCATGTGTGAAGTGGGAGTGCGTGCCGGCGGTGTCTGTGGGTGAAACGGGCGTGAGTGAGGCCGTAAGAGCCGTGGTATGAGCCAGAGTGGGCTTCATCACCCAAAATAAGGACGGTTTGGGACAGCTCAGACTTGGTACTGATGAGCCTGGGCCAGGAGGGCGACAGAGAAGGCGAGGTGGTGAGCTGGGAAGCCGCTTCATCGGCACCTGGACGTGTCGCGATGAACTGCCGAAAAGTACTATTTGCGGCTATTGCTCAAAACTTCGGGAGACAAGGCCTACATATTATGACTGAATCCTTGGGCCTGGTGCATGAGGGCTGCGGGTCGGGACATTTCACGGTCGGTGGCGCCGGTGTTGGCCTCCGGAAAGCCCTCGCAATCGCCTCGGATGGGGTCCACCGGAGACAATCTCGAGCCCTCTCCGTGGCATCACGAGCCGGTGTGAGCTTGCCGACCCAAGGTAAGTGCGGTCTGGGACGGGTTAGGCTTGCTACTGATGGGCCTGGGCCAGGAGGGCGCCTACCCAGGCGAGATGTTTGTGTTGAAACTCCTCTCTGCCCACATGTGTCTTTCTCGCCCTACACTCGCCATGACCCCACACGTCCGCCTCTGCTCGCGTTTTCGAGCCAGGTCCTTCGCCCGGGCCCATGGCCGGCTCGCCATCATCGATTCCGCGCGCTCGGCTC